GATTTTTCAGGCTTTTTAACCAAAAACCTAGCAAAGCATTTAAATTTTGCCATATAAATGTTGTAATGGGTATGGTTTATTGTAACAAACAGTTGTTAGAACATATGGCTTCAAATTACAGAATAACATGAACCTGGTATATAGTCATATGCCTCTGATCATGTGTGAACAGGTTCATATCATTCTTATAGAACAGCTATTGTACACTCTTAATAGGGTTTGACTCTTGCTTAAATAAAATAAAATTCATACAGTGCAGATTTTAATGACTGATGCTTCACTGGTTGTCTTCCCTTTCAGCAATATTTGTAGTATCATTACTGAACCATCTTCCTCATTTTCTAGAGAAGAAATTAGAGAAAATAAAGATGGAGTTTTACATTTAATTAGTTGAAGGTACTGTTGGCAATTGTCATACTCTACCAATATGTACGATTATTAAAATCATGTATGACAATCATTGTGAAGCTGATTAGAAAAGAAGAATGATACAAGTTTTGTGGTATACAGACATTTTGGTAATCTTGATTCGACTTGCAGTCCTGAAATAATATTTTAAAGATTAACAAAAGACATATTACCACTCTTCCTTTCGGGTTCTTCTCTAATGCATTGTTCAATGGTGTTTAACAATTCATGGAGTTGTTTTGATGATCTTTTTTTTGTTTGTCCAACTGTTAATATTTTCGCCATTAACATGTTTTTGTAGGTTGCTACAATCTTCTTACATTTTACCATGTTTTTGACGCGCTCAAATTCTGATTTGAGCTATATAAAGTTAATAAAAGTAAGTAAATTTAGTGAACTGGTAAAATACAGTTTAATTGTACTGTACGTGCATGAATGCAGAAGATTTGCTAACAAAGTATTCTTTCGCCAGTTTTCATTACCAGTAAAAAGGTTTTTAAAATTTTGCAGGTGGAAACTGTATATGAGAAGCAAACAATACCAGTGAACTGTGTACACATGATATTAATAATACTGCACAGAAGTAGTATACCTCGGTGACCATCCTTAAAGCTGGATAGTCCGACAATAATAATTTCAAAGTTGTCGGACTTGTGAGGATTCGTTCTCGCCTTCTTTGGAACGTGGCCGACATGGATTCTTTGATCCCAGGTAAATTTCTGTTCTTGGTCTTTACCAACTCTTTCTTCATGAATGAGATATGTTCGTTGCACATCTCTTCAGTTTCTGGAGGAAACAATAGGAATTTAATAGCAATAAGTTTGTCAAACTGTAGAACGAGAGTAAGCTCGGCTCGTTACATATGCTACGTTACGCTACGATACAGTTGAAGTGGAAAACGGGCTTTATGCTGCACAGGAGTGGGCAAATGATACGAAATTGCATATATTTGCTATAAAGCCCAAAGCCAACACATACAGTGAACAATTAACTCACTCCGATTGATTGTGTCTTGATTTCTAGTTGACTCCCACTGGAATTATGACGTCACAAGAAACCCAAGAATACTAATATGTATAATGTATACAGTGCAGTGCAGTACATACCAAGAACGTCATCGACTTCATTTCCTTCTTTTCTTTTACTGGTTGTACCTGACGTGGACGTGGACGTGGACGTGGACGTGGACGTGGACGTGGACGTGGACGTGGACGTGGACGTGGACGTGGACGTGGACGTGGAAGAAAGTGAGGCAGATGTTGAACGCACTACCTTTCGTTGATAGCGGCGTTTGTTTTAAAACGGTTGGCAATCGATAGCTGCCATGATGCCTTAACATAAAAATGGTATGTATATATAAACCGCATTACAACACTTCATACATTAAGCCAGTTTTTGCAAACCTTGAAGCGAAAACCTCAGTTCATCTACTTTAATAAGTGAGAATATTATCTTCAACTGCACGTGTCAGTGTGCCCATATTTACTGGTAGTAATACTCTACTGACTATTTACGCGAGAAAATTAGGGTTAAATGTACCGTTCCACATCCAAGCTTGTCGGCGAGAAAAGGGTATTTCGATACAATTTTGAAAGCGACGTACTCCCTTTCGTGCTTTCGTGGCGTCATTGTGTGGAGACTTATTACGTTGCAAACATCCCTGTTAAATTCGTTTCTTGCCGTACCACTCAATTTGCCATTCGCGAGTTCTTCGGTTACTGCAGGGGAAAACTACAAGCCAAAATATATCAGAATTCAATTTAAAAATTGTGGTCCACTCATGTGATTCAACAAAACGAAGTAGAGTCAGAGATCAGACTCAGAGTTAAGTCAGAGTCAAAAAAATGAAAGCATTTTATTAGTTAGCGTAAGTTGCATGTTGATTTATTTTGATACCCGTTTAAACGACGTAAAACCTATTTTCTAATTGGTAGTTCGTTGTCCCTGGAACACGTGCTTGCGCAATATGTGAATCAGTCTTAATATATGTGGATTTTTGTAAAGTTTTCCCGACACTTTTTTACATCACTCAATAGACCTTTCCCATATATTTTTCGAGCGCACAATGCGAGACGGTAGCTGAAGGTCAATTTGAGTTGTGATTTTGCTATGTCCAAGAGCGATTTTTATTGACAAAGAGGGAAAAAATAAGCTTTTTTAAATACAAAATCACTCCTAAAAAGAGCGAAATCGCAACTCAAAGTTGCTTGATAATCATGCAACCACGGTCACGCATTGCGCTTAAAAGCTAAAACGGAAAAAGTCTATTCTCACGCAGACAACACCTATAACGATCGATCAAATAAGAACTAGCCAAACTACACTTCTTACCGTCAAAACGGCCTACGTTTCTAAATACATATGCATGCGCAAAAACGAACAGTTTGTAAAGGCTGCTTTCCAGTTACGCGTTTTTTTACACCCGTGCACGCTCGTAAAATTTTAAGTTTTATATAAAGTAATACTAAAACTTGCGGAATGTTAAAGACTTTTGCTTTATTTATTTGATTATAGCACGAGTAACATTTAATTTAAAGTTTTACGTGCATATATGTGCGTAAATAAAACTCGTAACTGGAAAGCAACCTTAACAATTAAGTCAAATATCAACAGGCCATAAATAAGTTGTTGGAACAAGATGTTACAGTAGCGACTTGAACCAAGCTTTTTGAGATTAACAGATTTGTTGCACTTGGCAAAAACGTGTTTTTTACAGGCATGAAGGTTGACAACAGATTGTTATTATATTGTTATATCTGCAGGCTTGTATCGGACAAACAAAGTTGTTAATTCCAAACTGACAACTTGCGACAAGAAGTGGGAAGACAACTTATTGACGGTTTGTTGGCACTTAATTGTTACAAGATGTGAGTTTTTACCTGTGTGTCAAAACGTTGTTACTAGTCTAGCTGTTCATACGCTGTAAACAAGCTGTCTTTTTGTAGCAATTAAAGATCGTGCTAACAATTGTTGCAACCATAACAATAAAGGATGTTACAGGCAGCATTTATAGGCATTACAAAGCAATTTTGTTATATATATCAGACTTTCAGAACAACCTCGCAATTTGCAACAAGTCTGCTAATTTTGGCTAATTCCAAACCTGTCAACAACTTGTGAAAAGCAGTGGGAAGACAACTTGTTGACAGCTTTTCAGCAGACTTGTCATAATTAGATGCGAGAGTTTTATGCAGCCGGGTTTTAGTCACATGACAGAACTGAATAGTTTAATTCCCTTCTATTTTTATAATTATTTACCTTTGTAGGTAGCTCGAATGTCGAAAGCCACTCTTTGTCTTCCTTAACCACTTCCGTTGTAAACGCCGTTGTTGGTTCACTGGCCGAGATGCAAGACGATATGTTGATGCACGTAGGGGGTGGTGGATTAGCTGTTTCATCGACATGTTCACCATGCGCCGGATTGTCCACAAGAAACGAGAGCTCTGTCATTTCTGACAGGTCATCTGCAATGATGGGCGGATCGATAGGAGAGGTCGATGGAAGAGATATTTCCTCAATGGCCTTCCGTAACCTAACAATTTGACCAGCTTTAATGTTACAAGCTTTTAATAAGTCGTCGCTTGTTGCTTGTAACATTTCTAATGTATCCAGCTATAGAAATAAATAATTTGTGCAAAACTAATTTGCCTCATTCGGACTGAGATATTTTGATGACAAAAATTTGTAGCAGGCTTCATGGTGTTTCGTTCAATTGACCTAAGTCGGACTTGGTTGGTAGGTTTAGGGCTCGAACCTATCACGTTTGGAACCTCGAAACGGGAGGGTACGAACCTCTCACTTTGGCTTTGGAACCAAGTCAATCTTCAACTAAGATTATATTGTCACGCACATGCCATTTTGCAATTAACCGAGACTGGCAATTTATTAAATATCTATACATATGTTCCTGACGAAAGAGATGGATCGCCAAAGTCGAAGAAAATATTCAATTTGTTTCCAACTTTCTGTTTTATGGTGGGGTTCTTTGCGCGGCTAAGTCGATTTCAGGATTCGTATATGACTCTTGTTTAGCAAGATCCCTTAAATTAAAGAGTATTGAAAGAAGATTCTGTGAATACATTTGATTTGTACATACCATGCATATATATTCATATATTACTACATTATATCGCTGTCAGACGGGCTAAGACTAATTTGAATTTTCCAACAAATCGGCGTATATTTTCAGACCCTTTATCAGGCATTCCTTGAATGTATGTTAGTTAACAGAATTAACTTCCATTTCAAAATAAAATGATTTGCTTCTCCGCGTCAAGTTCCAAAATTCGAAGCGGACAAGCGGGACAACATGCACAAGCTATATATATTACCATAAGCTACGAAACATCGGTACTCGTTTTGACGTCACATCAGCAAACATGGCGGCTATAAAAGTTCGCATTTGATACCGAGGTTTGAGGGCGAAATTAGTCAAATTACTTCACACACAGAAGTCATATATGCATCAAATTGTTTCTAAAAGACTAAATATTTGTTTAGGCTAATAAAAATGAGGTCGAAAATTTCGTTGCAGTAGCACAAAGATCCTGAGAGAATGTACATATTATGTAAATAAAAAAGTGTCCAATATTCCAGGGGCAAATTTAGGATTTTTCATACCTTATTCAAAAAGTTTCAGTCAAGAAATTCGGGGGGGGGAGATGTCGCATTCGTCAGGGGGGTGCAGTTGCAATGTGACCGTTTTCGCCAAATATCAGGGCTTATCAACATGCCTAGGAAACAATCAATGCAATCTCCGACGAAACGTATTTTACGGCAGCATATAGATCGCAAAGTTCTAAATGAATGTTGATATGACGCGATGCTGATGTTCACATCGTAGTTTGTTTTACGGAATTATGCCCCTACGCGGCTACGCAAATAAAGGAAGACAATCTGCGCTGGCTTGCACGGCTGGCTCACATCATGAGAGAATTGTGATTTTCAATAGTTTGTTTGGGCAGTTTGTGTAAATAGACAAAAAATCAATCTGCAAGCAGGCGAAACAGTATTTAAGGCAGTAGATTCTGTAGTTCTATATAGGCACATTTCCAAAGGTAATATGACGCCACGTTATATATAAAACACCTTAGTTCTCATTTTGTTGTCGACTTTAGCCTTTAGTGTAACTCTTCGCCCAGCCGTGCTCGCTGTTCTTATAAGGTTGCACCACACGGTCCAAAGCCTGCTTCCACACAGTATTTGTGCAGTGTAATTGCTCTCGGTATTAAAGCCACTCATATATCGAGCCAAAATAACCGAACAGATTGGATGCTGATGTTTGTCCGAATATTCTTAACCCTCCAAGCAACCTCTAAACCCTCCAAGGTTTTCCGCATTAATTACCATAGGGCTTTACATAGAAATTAGGTGAATTTTGGTTGCTTTTGTAAGGACAACGCGAGTGAAGTCTCTTCGTCGAATCGTCGTCAGAGGCCCCATGGCCATGACTTTGTTTCAATATTAGTACATTACCCGGAATATAGTTATATTCCGAATCATTATCAGGAATATAGTCATATTCAGAGTCAAACGACGTTTAGACATTGTCGATGCAGTGTAGTCAGTGAAAATCAATGATTGTTCAGAATAACCCTAACCCTAACCGTAATTAAGGTACAGCCAGAGATACTATTACATAAGTATATGATCACTCCTATACTGGGTATGAGGGTAACAGACATTTACATTTTCGTGTACATTTATAAATGTATCATCATTCATCGCCATTTTTATTTTATCATTTTTATGAACCAGCTCTAGAAAGACTTCATGTCAGACTTCTGTTATTATACTTCCGTTATTGCAAAATTTATGGCGTCATGTACGTTAGCTGGATATGATCTAACGCCGACCAGGTTCCTCGTACTACGTAACTAGCACCAGTTCACTAACTCACGGTCAACATTTGCAGTTTGCTGGTATTTAGTCATAAAAAAGCTTAAAAATGTACAAAAAATCCTAAAACCAAACCGAATCCTCATTATTAGGCACCTAAACTTTTCATTAAATTGTCAAGTCCAAACTACGTCTTTACTTGATGTTTGTGTGACGTAGTCCTAGGGACGTGTCGCAGTGAAACCTGGTATAATATCTTCTGTAGTGCCCGAGTTGGCTTGTCAGAAAAGTTGAAATTTTACGAGGTTATCAATAGGTGAAAAAATCTTTAGTTCGTTGAAATATCCATCCACAGGGTAAAAATGAAACGAAACACAAAACTTAATAACCTTTTTAAGTACTTCCCTTCACTTTTAGCATGTTTTAAAGCGTTTTAGTCACCGGAGAAAATTTTTTTTGCAGTCGTGAAAGGGAAATTCAGACAATGAAAAATAACTTAAAAACAAGAAGAATTACCTCTTCCAAGCGCAGAATTTCGATGATTTCTTCCCTCACACCGTTACTCGTCAGCGCTTGAACAAATTGTTGATCCATTTTATAGGAATAGGACAGAAGAAGACTTTTTTAAACCACTAAACTGAATTTTACTTCGAGCAAAGCAAGCAGCAAGCAAGAAAGGCCGAAGAAAAGCAATCACGTGACCTGTGAATTTGTACTAACCTATACACCCTTAGGATGAATAATTCTCCGATTAGCTCGACTATCAATGATTGTTTCTTAATAAATTTATCGTAAACAATCACAAATACATTATATATTGGAGAAAAAAACCTTTTTCGTTCAGTTTCCTAACTTTCATTGGGTTTGCCCACATATGTTGGTACGGCTGTACTAGCCTACCCTACCCATATACAAGTGTACGATTTCTGAATTGGCGCGAATGTTATAGCTTTGCCTGCTTTGACATTGGCTAGCTAGAGCTCTATATAGTGTTCACTGGCTAGAACTAAATCTGTTCTAGACGAAAAATAAACATGGTCTACCGTTGTAATTTGTGCGTTCACTTCACATCTGTCACTCTTTGCAGATTAATTTCGCACTTGGGTCGTGTCCATCAAAACGACAGCAGCTTCCATGTCCTTTGTGGCATTGATGGATGTCCAAGGACGTATAAAAACTATTATTCCCTTAAGACACACTTTCATACGAAGCATTCCACAATACTGAGAGGGAAAGGCAAAGAGTGCCCCAACGCAACGAAGATCCAGAAGAAATCAATAACGAGGATCACAACGACGATCATGGTGATAACGACGACGCTGCATTCGACTTTGACCGAGAAGTTGAACAGTGTAGGCGATCCAATGCTTTGGGCATTTTGAAAATAAAGGATGAGGCCAAAATTCCCCAAACGGTGGTGGAGTCAATCGTCAAAAGTACAACACAAGTTGTAAACAACAGTGTCGACGTTATCCAGCATGGGTTACAGCAGTGTTTACAGAATGCTGGTTTACAAATCGACGACATCCCTGGCATTGAAGAGCTGTTTGAAGAGTCCAGTAGCATCCGTGAACCATTTAAGGATTGCCACAATGAAGCATCCCAACTGAAGTACTATAAAGAAAATTTAGGAATGGTGGTGAGTAAAATTATATACAAATACATAATATATACCTCTATAGTGTGTATTAAAAATAATGAATAGCAGAGTAACTTTTTTATGACAGGAAAGAAAAGTATTTGACATGTTGCACACTGTGACAATTTTTATGATAAAATATTCTAGCAAATTAAATAACTCAGTCAATTGATCCCTTTATTTACAGGAGCCTGAAAAGATTGTGTTAGGCAGATACCACAAAAAGGTCAGGAAGGGCAGCAAACTTGTTGATGTTGAAAAAGAAGACAAGGCATACTATGTGCCATTAATAAAGAGCATCCAGCAACTTTTAACCAACGAGGCTGTTGTTGAAGAGGTACATGTTGTGGCAGTGCATGCAATCACTATTGATTCTTAATAAATGTTTCTGGGAGATACATTTTGTCACTTTACCTACAGATTCCTTTTTTGATAATTGAAATTGAAAGCTAATATTTAAACTGATGGCAGATACACCAAAACCTATTTTATAGGCCAGAGCCCTTAAAATTTGAATTTTAAGTGTAAAATTTGAGTAATTATTTCAGTAAATTATTTAGATTAACCATCCTCATAATCGTGATGATGGGTTGATGGCAGATTATTGTGATGGTGAGGAATATCAAGCACATCCATTGTTCAGCCAAAATAGGTATATCACACTGTTGTTGTATTAGTGTTGTACAGAGTGTACAAGTTCATATAGCTTTTCCTAATTTAACCATACATGTAAAAATGGCAAGTGGCTTTATTTGGTAATGTTCAATGTGTGACAATTTTTATGAATATGGGTAACACAAATAACACATAGCCTTAGATCTCAGTGCCTAAATTACTTTTAGTCAGGAATGAAGTCAATCAGTAAAGTACTAAAGATCACAAGTAAAACTTAGAATTTAGTTATTAAAGACAATAGCTCGCGATCAGGCACAGCTGTAAACCTTGACATTGTCTGAAATAAATTACAACTAACCAATTGATTATTTGCAATTTTTATTTTCATGTAGACATACACTTCAAATATTCCTATTCTTTGATGAGTTAGAAGTGTGCAACCCCCTTGGGTCACGAGCAAACACTCACAAAATAGGTAACAGTGACAACATTGGCTAATGTTCATGAAATGTACTTTGTGGGAGAGCATCATTTAATTGTTCACATCAAACAAAATTAAAAAAATTATATTTACTGTACTTACTTATATTTACTGATATTTCCTTAACTCAGGCAACTTCTACTACACACTTGGCAACATATCACCAGATAAACGGTCAAGTCTTGGTGCAATTATGCTGGTAGCCATTGTAAACAGCAAACATCTTAAAGAATACGGTGTTGCAAGTATCCTTAACACAATCATGGAGGACATCAGATTACTTGAGGAGGTACCATACATCTAATATATAATAAAAATTAATAGGTGATGTGCTAGTATGCCCTACAGTATGATTGATGCTTTATGTATAGCAAAATATATATTTTAATAATATTTTTAGGTAATGTGCCCCAGTGAATCCTACAGTACTTATTCTTTCCTTTGACAGATGCCAGATTATTTTATTTGTCAATGGGAAAGCTTTGGCACTTTATTGGTTAAATAAATCAATTATACCATCATGATTTATACTGACCACACTGCCACACACACTTTTTTTTCTTGGTAAATTCAAAATTTACAGATATAAATTTACTTATGTAGGGTGTTGAATTTGATGTTTGTGGGGAAAAAAAACAAATCAAGGGAACTATTGCCTATTCATCTGGAGATAACCTTGGCTCCCAACGATTAGGAGGATTTAAGGAAGGATCCCTGGCATACCGAAAATGCAGAGAATGCCTGGGACTTGCTGAGCAAATTCAAACCATGGTACACTTGAAAGTTTTTAATTGACTACGTATACAGTAAAGGATTGACAATTAATTACTGACCTGATCACCTTATTGAAGTGTCAATTGTATAATTTTAGTTCCATGAAGCTGACTTTACTCTTCGAACAAGGGATGGCTATGAGATTCATTGTCGACGCCTTCAACAATCTGAACACTTCAGCGTAACATTTGGTTTAAATAGGAGGTCTGAGCTGAACAACTCCAGATTTTACCATGTTGTCGGTGGATTATCAGCTGATGCAATGCACGATGTTTTGGAGGGTACCCTGCAGTATCATACCAAAGAGATTCTGAAATACTTTATTCTAGAAAAGAAAGCATTCTCTTTGGATGAACTGAATAAGAGAATCACCTCCTTTATTATGGGTATGTGACTAATGTAAAATACTCCAGGTCTGGCATGTTCAAAGGTGGATTAGCCCTAATCCTGGGTTAAAATTTCAAAACCTCAGAGAAGTAAACTCCTATCGATCCAAACAAGATTTCTGAAGGAATATTTCCGAATTTATAGACAAGCTGTCAGGAAGTTTGAAGGGAATTTTTAAGTTAACCTCGCTAGTATATTCCACGAGTATGATATTGTTTGGAGACAATCAGAGGTCATTAACCTGCACAGCAATTCGTAAAATTTTGCATTATATCAAGAATTACAACTTTTCATCACGTTACTGCAAGCCAAATGTTGAGCCAAAGGCCTTTTAACAAATATGTCACGATCAAAGGAATTCTTTTCGTGCACGTCATTTTAACGATCCAAATTTGATCAGACTTGTAATGACTATATAGAAATTAGTCTATTTATGAGCATAGTAATGTGAAATTAAATTTTGTAAAAAGTGAATGTTCATTTATACCAATTTTAAGTTTGGGAAAATCAATTTTAATACAATCAACAATAGTCAATATGGCGCGCCGGCGCGTCACGTTCGGTTTCAAATCGGTTTCGGTTTCGGTTTCAAAATTTCTGTAAAACTTAAATGTTTAATATCTAAATACATTTAGCGGACAATATACTGCACAATGTGCATTCGGGAAATAATTTTTAAGCAGTTTGACATTGTAAAAATTGCGTTTGGACAATCGTCCAGCTTGTGATATTTCAATACAAAGACTAAATAAAATTAGATTTTTTGTTACATTTTGTCACAACTTAAGTTGCATCCACCACGTTTAGTTTTCAGCTGCCAAAAAATATACCAGCTGTTACAATGCACATTACTACATTTTTTAAAAGAAATTTCGATTCTTACCTTCTTCTGATGTTTATTTTGCATGTAAATTTGACTGTAAATTCTACGCGAATTACAATAAGCGAGCACATCCGTATAAGCAAAGTACGGCTGTTGAGTGTTGACGTCAGTGACGTGTGCATGAACACGTGGTGCAGTGCACCGGAAAGGTGATCCTGGTAAAATGGAAAAGCCACATTTTAGGCCTGGTTTATACGTCGAAATTCCGTCGGATTTAATTTAAGTCGCATGTTTTCTCCAAAGGGTTGCCCCTCCCAGAATTGAACTTACGCTATGACTTGTAGTATCAAGAAATATTACAGAAGCAACCTTAGCAAATATTACTGTAACAAACACTACCTAGTATTAACTCAGTATTAAATCTTTTTAGCAACCTGGCATGCATGCATGCAGTAAACTGATCATCGCAGTAAAAACCCCTAGCAGTATAATAGTATTTGGGGAATTAATTGTTCCTACAATTTAGCGATTCTAACAAACCTGCGCCAATTTTGCGGACAAAACTCACATCTGATGATAACAGTCTCAAACAACATGGTAAGATATACAACTTATTATATATTATATCCAACTATTAAATATCCTTCTCGACTCCATATGCATAATACTATAAGCATTTCATTACAAAACATGCAAGAAATATTGTGTAGATTTCAAACTGATTTCAAGAATGTTGATGACATTTGATGTAGCAAGTGATGCGTTTTCACGTTGTACGAAATACTTCATTTAGAGATATTTAGAGATACCTGCCAAAGATCATTGTTACAATGTTGCATGTTTTTTTGTCAGTTTGCGTTTAAAAAATCCGTCAATGCTAGAGAAAAAACGCTCCAATGTCAAATAGCCACAGTCACAAGTATCACATGCATGTACGCTGCATAAACTTACTACCAGGCCTCCTCTTACTTTCGTTTTCTCGGCAAGTAACACGTCTAGGTTCTTCCAATAGGCATGCGTACAGAAAGGTAATGCACTGAACCCACCTTCTTCTCGATATACCGGTTATACCTATAGACCCTTTGCACTGACGTCATAATGATTAAAAGTTGTCCTCCAGAACTTTCCTTGCCTCCAAAATAATCTTATTGGGGCGGTGAAGGTTGCCAACAACAGCAATTAACAGAGCACAGTTTTCACACAGGGCCGCCGGAAGCAATCAAGGGCGGGGAGGGGGGGGTGCAAGAGACTCGAAAAAGGGCACTTTAGTTAGGATAGTGCCTCTCTTTTTTATTCTTCAAATAAAGAATGGAAGCTTATGAAATTCAAAGTTGGGCTGCTTTCCGCAATATGAAAAACGAAAACTACGAATTAAGAACATAGATACGCTAAAATTTACTCAAATTATGAAATTATATGATATTTAGTTAGTGGTCAATTGTATATAAAGGCAAGCTGCCCCGCGGTTTCGGCGCCCCTGCTCGCAAACTAGTCAATATTTCCGTATTTTGCCCAAATTTTACGTTTTTGCAGACATTAGTTTGTCCTCCAGATAGTGTGACGTCATGTGCAAAGGGTCTATATACCTATACTCTGTGCTTAAACCAAAAATCGTAGTAGTTGGAAATGAATATCGCACCCGCCTGGGCTATTATAAATAAACATAAACTAATAAATAAACGCCATGGCTCTGCTAAATGAATAGAAATATCAGAATGTTCCTAATTTATAAATAATTGAAATCGAAGAAGCAGCATAGTTGATTTACATCATTTACTTTTTAGCAAATGAGATGTGGTGTTTAGGTCTATTTTTGCCGCTCCTGGTTGGCGAGTTTATCGACGAAGATGACGACCATTGGACTGCATACTGCACACTACTAGAAATAGTACGTATTGTCTTCTCTCCGCTGGTAAGCAAGGAGCAGATACCGTATCTTCAAGTGCTCATCCAGAATCACCACGAGAGCTTTAAAGCCTTGTATCCTCATGCCTCGATCATTCCAAAAATGCATTACATGATTCACATGCCAAGGACAATGCTACGGTGAGTAAATAATTAACCGTTTCCATTTATATATACGTATAGCCTAAGGAGGTGCATTTATGCATATTCATGTTCGCATACCGTAACAACAGACTGAACAGAGATTCTCTGCTTACGAATCAAATTTGCTTTTGAACGTAAAACATGAATATAAACCCCACCACTAGTCACTACCCCCGCTAACTATTGTTCTAGCGATGGTCCAGATGCAGTTGGTGGCCGGTATGCAGCGTGTCATTTCTCACCCTCTCCCCAATTTGTTAAATAAACGTTTTTTTCGTATCCCCCTTTCGTACGTCTTCTTTTCAATCTTGTACCAAAGTGAACTGGAAAATTAAGAATGTAGGACGATTTTTTTAAATTGCAGTTTGGGACCGTTGATACGAATTTGGTGCATGCGATATGAGGCAAAGCACTCATACTTCAAACAGCTGGCAGTCTCGTGTGGCAATTTTATAAACTTGCCCTATCTGTTATCTAAACGGCACCAAGAGGGCTTGTGTTATCGTCTTAACACACCAGACGGCAGCCACTCAACTTTCCTGGAAAAAGGCAACGAGATTGGTCCAGGTATTTGTGCTAATAGTCACATGCATGCATAACAACACACACTTAATTTTATCACACTAAATTTATCTGTAATCAAAGCGTATGTTGTACAATCATAAAGGAACGAAATGGATTTATATCTTGAAACTAATTTATATGATGAAATTTATGTTTAATTACAGGCACTGAAATTCGTGCTGGCAATCTGGAATGCTACAATTTGCTCGAGCAAAGTTATCCTGCTGATCTAGATGATACCTTTGTGTATGAGTAAGTATTTTTCATTAGAACAACATTTATTATCCATACCCAACATAGTAAAAATGTATACTCCCATAATGTTATATGCTGCCTGGGTACTAAAATAACTACAATGGCTGTAACCCCAACAGTAATTAAGACTGTAATTTAACCTCTTGAGTATTGTAAGTCAACCTTACTTCAAATACAGTACGGTATACTAAATCACAGTATATACAGTATATTAAATCATACTTTTTTGGCGTCTTCGCTGTAGTATTGTGCTCTGGTCACTCAGTTTCATGTCTTTTATCCAAGGGCAAAATGGGTTGTTATTCATGGTACCAAGTACAAAAGAAATGCCATCATACATATCGGTTATGATAATGACGATTTGCCAAAATTTGGAAAATCCAGAAGATATTAGTTGTTGCCAAAAACCTTGCAGCAATCCAGTTTCTTGTGCAGCCACTGATCACTGTCACGTTTGAAAGCCATCTCCAGTGTTATGAGGTCAACATTCCAGATGATAACGTTGAGATTGAAATTCGACAACACAAGGACTTCACATGCTACATCCCGAAACATCTCTGCCGGCCATATGGTCGCCGAGTTGGCGCCTGGTATGTGTGTATCAGATATGAGCTTGGCACCAACAGTTAGATGAAGATAACAACTATGTAAAAATGTAGATAACAATGTAGATATGTAAATAACAATGTAGATATGTAAATAATAATGTAAATATGTAAATAACAATGAAAATATGTAAATAAAAATGTAAATATGTAAATAATAATGTAGATATGTAAATAACAATGTAAATATGTAAATAACAATGAAGATATGTAAATAACAATGAAGATATGTAAATAACAATGTAGATATGTACAATACAGTAAGTGTCAATTGAAAAAACTTAAGCAGGAGTTTGGC